TATAACAATTGAATGTGTCCAGTACAGTGTCTAGGCTTGTCTATATGGTTTCTTATTATGAAGATAAACTTAATTTAGAAATGAAGCGAGATCTAGGTATCTTTAATTAATATTGGATGATATAATAAAACTTTTATCCAACATTGTTACTTAAACATTATTCAGAGCCTTTCAACTATTTTGTTTTTAAATAAATATAGTGACTAATCTATAAAAAAGTAATTCTCGCTTTCCCATTATAACAATATCAAATAGTATGGAATTACACAGGATATTTCACTTGATATAATCAGTTTTATAAGGAAATCGTATTGATTTCAATGACCTGTATACTGCAAGAAAACAATTGGAAAAAAATAATTGCCATATTAGTGAGATGATCCTGAATGTGGCTTATTTCTGTTGTTATTTATTATATCTATGTCATTTACCATTGAGTATCGTTTAACCCATATGAATCAATTCTATATTAATGAAGTTAAACACCAAGTGTCTTTTTGGACGTTGTATGTCATGCTATCAATGGTACATATTTCCTCATGCCCCTAATTTCCCATATTTTAGTAGAAGGTCAGCTTTCTTGTCACCTATCAACATTAACTGTTAAGAACGTCACCTACCAACTCAAACAGTGATATAAACTCCATCTTTCTCCCAATTTCTTTTTTTTCTACCGTAGAAGGTCGGTGATCTGTCAACGTTAACTGTGAAGTAGGTTATCTGTTAACTTAACCAGTGATACAAATTTCCCCATTTTGTTATCCTAGAAGATCAGCTGTTATGTCACCAGTTGTGTCATCCATCAATTAAACTTTTTCTATGGTAGTCCCCTTGCTGTACTACTGGTATTGTTATAATAAGAAAAGCGAAGATAATTCAAATATGAATTTAAATTCAGGGTGATCTGTTTGAAAAAACTGAAGTTATTGAATATCTCGTAAATTTGAAAATAATTTCAAAATATGGAGTGTAACGCTGCCAACCAGCAATACGTTTTTAAAAATAATATGGGATTGAAAGTTTTAATCCGTTTTTAAAACATGTTAGAAATTGTGAAAAAGATAGATATACTTTTAAAGTATAATTTTTATTATAATCATGTACCTAAGGCTAATACTTACTTACATTTAAGTTAAAAGATATTTAATTGAGAATAAATTATAAATTCAAATGGAACAGCCTATGAAACATTTTAACTATATTCACTTTAATGCAAAAATGGATAATCGATATTTAAGATTATGAATAGATATTTCGCGTTCTTAAAATAAATATTAAATTGAAAAAAAAAAGAAGAAAACATGGGTTGATCCAATTTTTTAAGAATACCTATTATTGCCAAAATATCTTTATAAACACACTTAGAAGATTAAATTGCAAAAATACTATAATACCTATATTTTTGAAGAATGTTTTTGCAATTTACTGCTACTTTTTTAAAAATCTTGTATAATATGTAAATGTTTGTTGTTGTAAACTTTTGGTAATTTATGCATACAAAAATTTCAGTAAAATAATGTAATTTGGCCATAGCTTGGCTATTAAAACTGAAAAGTATAACAAATACTGTTTTATGAGCTGACATATTTATATTGTACACCTTTGTAATTTTTGTGGGCTTTATTTAACAATTTTATTCACCTTTTTTTCTGGTACAAGTGTCCTATGATGAATATAAATAAAATGCAAATGCATTATTATTCATATTATATAATAGTTTTGTTTTTGTAAAAATTAGTATCTTGGGACACTCTGTACTTCAATTTTGCATGACTCTTTTTTTTAACGTGTTCATACAGCGATACTCTGTATGTGCAATCCTTTATGTTGTGGATGTGTGTATGGTAAATGTTTCATTCATTTTTAACACAAATAATTCTATGTAATAAACTATATATAAATTATATTTTTCATAACATTGAATAACAAACTGCAAAGTTAAAATTATTAATTATTTGTAAGTAATTAAAAATTTGACGTAATTTTATGACTACATTATTGACCAAACTCCAACGTGTTAATTAGGGTTTGTAAATTAAACAAATAATGAAAAAGAATCTGTTTTTCTTACATTATAAAAAATTAAAAACTAAAATTGGTTTCCATTTTGGTGTAAGCTAATTTGATTTGTTTTATGACTGTTTTAACGAAATCAAAATTGTAATATGGAGCTATACGTAAATTTAAAAAGGCAATAACATTGACCAATTTTTAATTACAATTTAAAATTTTCGTACTTTTTATAAAAACAATTATTTTTATTTATATTCCTTTTCTTCTAAATTTTTCGTAAATGTATTATTATTTACCACTTTCAAACAGTCATATTATAATAATTACAATCGAATTCAACTTGATTAATTGATAGCTACAACAGTTTGCTAGTTACCACAATATGTTGACAGTAACTAATATACTTCAACAGTAACCACAATACTTTGACAACCACACTAGTGCATAAAATTAAATATTACAAACTGTATAGAGTCCAAAAAGACTTTAAAAACAGTAGTAGCATATTAATCACTTAACTTCATTAATTGATAGTTACAACAGTTTGACAGTTATCACAATATGTTGACACTAACCACAATACTTTGACGGGGAACGTATTAGTGCGTGAAGTAAAATTTTACGAACTGTGTAGCTGAAAACAGCGTCTGAAATTTATTTAATAATCACTTAACTTCACCAATTATTGAAAGTTAGAATAGTTTGACAGTTATCATGATATTTTGACAGTTATGACGTTATTTTGATAATTTTTTCAATAGTTTAAAATAGTAAAATTAACTAGATTAATTATTATTAGTTACAATAGTTTACAGTTACCACAATATATTGACAGACAGTAACCTTAATACATTGACAGTAATCACAAAACTTTGACAGTAATCACACTAATGTGCAAAGTAAAATTTTACGAACTGTATAGCATTCATAAAGACTTTAAAAACCGTAATAGCATTTTATGGTCTCTGAAAACAAAATCACTTAACTTCACTTAACTTTGTCAATTGATAGTTACAACAATTTGACAGTTATTATAATAATGTGACAGTTTGTACGATAGTTTATCAGTAAGATTACAAATTTCAGTTTAAATACCTTGATTAACTCATTCAACAGTTACCGCAATATGTTGACAGACAGTAACCAAAATACTTTGACAGTAATTACACTAAAATTTTACTATGTATCGTCTAAAAAGACTAGAAAAACGAAAGTAGCATTTTATGGCATCTGAAAACAAGTAATTTTCTTTAATAATTAACGTTACTTCATCAATTATTGATAGTTACAACAATTTTGACAGTAATAACGATATTTTAATGGTTATTACGATATTTTGCAGTTATCACGATACTCTGACAGTTATGACGATATTTTAACGTTTTTTCATTAGTTTGACAATAAAAGCAAAAATGTCACAGTTGAATATTTGTTTTGGACTCTAATTTATCACGTATTTTACGCCGTCCAATGTAATTAAAACTTTTTGACGGTAATAACAATTCTTTCAAAATAACGATAATACTCTCACAATATCCATATAATTTTGAGAGTAATCACAAAACTTTAAGAGTTGACAGAAATAACATTACTTCGACATTAACCACACTAGTGTGTAAAGTACAATTTTACGAACTGCGTAGCGTCCAAAAAGACTTAAAAAACAATAGCAGCATTTTATAACATCTGAAATTTTTTTTTGACATTACTAAACTTCATTAATTGTTATTTATAATAGTTTGACAGTTATTACAATATTTTGTCAGTTTTTTAATTGTTTAACAGTAAAAATTAAAATTTCACAATTCAATTAACTTGATTAATTAAAAGTTACCACAATATTTTGACAGTAACCATAATACCTTGACAGTAACCAAACTAGTGCGTAAAGTAAAATTTTACGAACTTTGTAGCGTTCGAAGACACTTTAAAAACGATAGTACTATTTTACGAAGAAATATATATATTTTTAATAATCACTTAAATCAGTTAGTAGTTACCACAATAGTTTAACAATTTTATAAATAAATTTAATTTTTATTTATAAATCCTGCACCATAGTTTTTACTTCCATCAAAGTAAACGCAATGTTATGAATTATATTTTTTATGTGTTTGTATATCACTATTCATTATAAGCAAATTCAGTAATATTTCAATGTTTATAATGATACTCAGTTTATTTGAAATAAAAAAAACTTTAAACTCATTAACAAACTAACGCTTTTATTTCAAATAAGCATAAGAAATACTCCATTTATTTCATAGACACACTTGCCAATTTTAATGTTTTCATTGTATCATGTAACTGAAACCGACTATTAGGGATTACCCCCACAGAAAAATCGAGAAAGTCCCACCCTTCCCCCTACCTTCTTTGATCACTTTGCTTCCAATGTTGCTTATGGAACCGTTTTTGCAAACTCCATATTGTTGAAGACAAAAAAGGTACAAAATTATTTAAAGTGAATTCTGTGTGTGCATGGTACCTCATCTTACCCACAATTACATTTTTTTATGTATAAAACAATATTTTTTAACTTTGTACATCGTAATTTTGGGTGAGATGGTAGAATGAACTCAAAAATCAAGGCCTCGGACTTCACGTGGCTAAGGCTACGAAAGGTCAGTGAAATTCTTAGATTGCTTTGTGGTGGGGAAAATAAATTAAAGTGTAGCGATTTTATGAGATCCTTTTAATCGTATTTAATTTATTTTGCCCAAAATAAAGAGGATTAACGCTACTAGTTTGGGCATCATGATTAAAAAATTGAGCCGTCTAGCTTTCGGATATTATGCAATTTTAAGTAGACGCTTATGGAGATGCAGAACGCAGAAGGGCTTTTTTTATAAATATATATATTATACATATATAGCTGTCGTATTCCTTCACATTCCTATCCTATACCTACATTTTTTACACTGTAAAACATTCATACATTTCATTCTGAATGGACGACTGCAAGGGGCCCGTATAAGCTCCAAATAATGATTTATTTTCTGAATAATAAAAAAAATAGTTGCACAAAATACCTCATTTACCTGTATCACAAAATATACACTCTAGTAAGTCCTTTTATCCACCCTCAAATATTATTCCATGCGACAGCAAGTGCATCACCTCAGGATGATGACGATTCCTTGGACACCGATGGCTTCCGAGAGGACGAATGCTTACTAGAAACCCCCACTCCTGGAGAAGATGATCCCGCTTCTCAAGAATACTCTTCCTATATGATTAGAGATATAGACAACCAAGACGTAACCGCTTACGACAACATTTGCCAGTACTACCAACACCAAGCGAGGCTCTTCGCCGGGCATCGCAAGCGACTCGCTTCTACCGAAGATCTAGATGCGGATGTGATAGAATCTACCTCCAATATACTGCCTTCCAACGTACTTACTAGTGATTTACCGGGAATTGATAAAATAGATTTAAATAAAATAAAGTCCGGTGATGTAATATATACGTCACCGGAAGAAAAAGGTGCTAAGGATTCAAAGAGGCCGGAAGATTGGGAGAGAAAGGAACGAAAGACTGTTGAAAGACTGCAAGGTGGTGCCGGTAAGGAAAAGGTACCACCATCCGAAGAAAAGATAACGCTTAAAGTAACTCCAGAGAAAAAAGTTAGCGTGACTTATTCGCACGATAGTACAACTAAAAAATTGTCATCAGATAACATCGAACAAGCCGTAGTTGGCGTTGTACAAAAAACTAATACCGAATTAACTTACCCACAACAAAACATAACTAAATCACCAGATGAAGATACCGCTCCCATTGACATTAAACAAAACGACAAAGAAAAACCGCAACAAGTAAATCGAAGTACATCTCCTTTGACTAACAAAGAAATATCTCCTTCACCGGAAGGTTCACCTCCGACTGTAACCGACTTATCGAAACCTACCTTAGAACTTATTATTGGTCGCAAAGAGGTCCGCACTAAGGAAGCGTTGGCAACTGCTGAAAGCAGGCTTACCTTGTACGGGACTAAAGACGTCGAAATATCCATCAAATCCCAATCACACATCTCTGTTACGACAACTAAAAGGGACAACTCTGGTATGGAGACATCGGAAAAGTTCGATGTCGGTATGTGTACCACAGCTGGTACCGAGAAACTGTCTCCTGAAGACATTCATACAGCCTTTGTAGACAAACACGAATCGTACATTATACCACCCGTGTCCGAGATCCCTCATAAGAAGAAAGAAGAATCGGTCAATTTCAGTGGAAGGAAACATATTTATACTTATCACGAAACAGACCATCCATCATCGCCAGCGCACTCGCCTGTGAGTTACAGCGAATCGCATCACGTAACAGATACAGGCATCTCAATCACTAGAGGTAACACAGCAACCTTATCCAGTCCTGCAGACCGTCCATTAGGTACCTTAGTACAAACAACCGGCTTCATTTCTGATACCGCACATGGTGAAACAGAGGAATTCGAATGTACTGATGCTGGACTGAGTCCTATTCAAGCTGACGAATTTCCACCGCATGATTTCGAAGATGAGGTTAACCCATTTACCGACACAGGTACTAGTCCTATCGAATTCCCAGAGTCTACTTCGGTGCCAATTTCTCAAGTCGACACTTCTGAAGCTGGTACCATTACCGATCAAATCGATACTAAAGACTCCACTTGTAGCCCAATAATTCCGGAGGAAACCCTACCAATATCGGTTGCTGATATAATAAAAGACGAGGAGATTCTAGCTATACGTAGGGGATCTGGTGATGTTAGGGCTAAAATTAAAATGTTAGAAGAGCATGCTAGCAAATCGCCGCAAAAGAAATATGAGAAAAAACAACGTGACCTGGTTGACTCTGAAGATGAAATGTCGAGTATGAAAGAAGAAGAAATATATAAGGGGTCGACCGAAACTTTGGCCAATCTCGATGATGAAGAATATAAACTGGAAACGATTACCGAACAAATGGTTAAAGAAAAAGTCGAAGAAAAGTCTGTTGTTAAAGAAACTAAATCCAAAACAACCACCCCCGTTCATACTAAGCACGTAGGAAAGAAAATTGCCGAATTACAGAAGATATTTTCAACTGAAACTGAACCTGAAGAAGATACATCTTATAAATCTCCAGTCAAAATAAAATCCAAGGATAAAACTGAAAAATTATTAACGAAGCCATTCGTTGAAACAGGAAACATTTTATCTGATGCGACAAAACTTGAAGAAGAAACAGCAAAAGTGGATATTTCTCAAATTGAGAAAGGTGACGAAGAAATAGAGGAAATCTATAACAAATCAGTAAAAGACAAGAAATCAATGTTCGAAGAATTGATTTCAAAATCTCAAGAATCCACACCGAAGAAGATCCACAGAGAGATATCGGAAGATAAAGTTAAATCACTTCTCGAAGAAAATATAGAGAAGCAGGTCCAGAAAGAAGTGTATGCACCTTTACCTCCAGAGAAAGGCGCAGGTGTCTGCACAAAGGCGGAAAAAGAATTCACTGAGGCTGAACTCAACGAATGCTTAACTGCAATTGAAGAAGACGTAATCACAGAACAGAAAAAGAACATTCGTGCAATCATTAATTCTATTGAAGAAAGAAATAAAATATTAGATGGAACCTGTGTAGAGCCAGTGTGTGTTAAGGTTCATGTTGAGCCACGTACTCCAAGATCAGTCTCGCCATACCAAGAAGTAGTAGAAGAAGAGGAGCTCAAAATTGAGCAAATATGTGCAACTGAATTACCAATTGAACAGCTTAAAGATGTATCTTCGGGTTTAGCTAAGATGTTTGATGATCATACTAAAATTATTGAACACATTAGTGGAAAAGGCTTGGATGTATGTGAGGAACCGTGTATCAAAAAAGGAATATGTAAACTAGAAGAAACCGATGAATATAAAGAAACCGCAGTCAAAGAAAAAGAGAAAGTAAAAAGTGTCACTGCAGAATTATCTAAAATGTTTGATAATCAGGTTAAAATTATTGAACAACTTAGCGAAACGAGCTTAGATGTATGCGAAGAACCATGTGTTAAAAAGGAAATTTGCAAACTGGAAGACGACAAGAAAGATCCGCAAGAGAAAGTTTCAGACACAACCCATAAAGAAACAAGCGATAAACAATACGATATAAGTGAAGAAACATTTGCGAAAAAAGTTTCCGTATTTGAAAAGCAGAAAATATCCGAAGACCCAGTAAAGATACCTAAACCGAGCTTGGAAAACAAACAACTTTCTCCTCCTACAACTGTAGCCTCCGAAAAAACCTCTCCGAAACAACTAGACCTAAAAGATATCGATATAGTCCATGTTCCGACCACTCAACAAGAGATACGGCAAATGATGTCAGAGGTTTTGGAGGCATCCAAACAAATTCGTCAAGAAGTGAAAGAACTAAAACCAGATTTAACCCCGACACCGGAAGGGCAGTTAATAACGATGTCGCCTGTTTCGGATCTGCCAGGCTTGACAAAAGCTGAAAAGGAATTGGAAAATATCAAATGGTCGACTAGAAGTTCATTCGATAAGAAAAAATTATCGACTACAGAACAAGAAATCATAGAAGGAACCCCAGAGATTACAATAGAAAGTAAAGTTCAAATCAAACAATTGCGAAGTGTCCAAGAAATAAAATCAAAAGAGACACTTTCTCAAAAAACTGTAACGATTGAAAAACGTGTTAAAGGATATGAGACAACAAAAACATTAATGGAAGAAGAAACATGTCAAGAAACTGTTTCACCAACGTTCGAAGATAAAGATCAAGATGATGAAAAAACCAAATTAGGTATTAAACAACATTCAGCAGAAATTTTCAGAACGTTGGTAGAGACTATTTCCACAGAAACACTAACAAACGAACAATCTAAGATAAGATCCACAACATTTGCCAAGCAAACAGCCACCACTGAAGATAATAACATTGAACAAAGTGAGCTTACTGACCACATACTTGCAGCAAGTGAAAATATTCTACATTCTAGTAAAATAGATGGAGATGAAGTAACGGAAAGTACCCTTATACAAACTAGTACAAATTTAAAAGAAAGCAGTGAAAGTAGTTATAGGTCTAGAGATACATCAAAAATAACAAATATAACAGAACAACGAACAATAATGCTTGAACATTCATCAGAACGCGTAGCTACAACTGATTCTCAAACATATTTAGAACAACAAGAAAAGAAAGATGAATATCAATCGACTGCATATACAGAAAAAGTAATAATGAGAAAAGATACTTCACTATTGACTCATAAAAGTCCAGACCAATCAGAACACCAAGATATTTTAGTAAGAAACAAAAGAGATACTCCATTTACTGAAGAAGATAAAACTGATGAAAACCAAATACATGACGGGGTAGTGCTTCATATTGCGGAAGATAAAAAAATCTCCGAAAGAAAGTCCAAAATCTCCAATTAAACCACAAGAACTAGAAATTTCTCATAATATTCCAGCAAAACTTAATATTAAATCGCCGATTGATAAAAACTACATTACTCCTAAATCTAAACTAGACGAACATGAAATAACTAGAAAACTTACAGACGACGAGGTTGTTCCTCATATTACGGAAGATAAAAAATCTTCTGAAGAAAGTCCAAAATATCAAATTAAACCGCAAGAACTAGACATTACTCCTAAATCTAAATCTATACCAGACGAACATAAAATAACTAGAAAACCTACAGACGAAGAGGTTGTACCTCATATTACGGAAGATAAAAAATCTCCGAAAGAAAGTCCAAAATCTCCAATTAAACCACAAGAACTAGAAATTTCTCATGATATTCCAGAAAAACTTGATAATAAATCGCCGATTGACAAAAAAGACATTACTCCTAAATCTAAACCAGACGAACATGAAATAACTAGAAAACTCACAGACGAAGAGGTTGTTCCTCATATTACGGAAGATAAAAAATCTTCTGAAGAAAGTCCAAAATCTCCAATTAAGCCACAAGAACTAGACATTTCTCATGACATTCCAGCTAAACTTGTTATTAAATCGCCGATTGACAAAAAAGACATTACTCCTAAATCTATACCAGACGAACATAAAATAACTAGTAAACCTACAGACGACGAAGATATTCCTCATATTACAGATGATAAAAAATCTCCGAAAGAAAGTCCAAAATCTCCAATTAAACCACAAGAACTAGACATTTCTCCTGACATTCCAGCAAAACTTGATATTAAATCGCCGATTGACAAAAAAGACATTACTCCTAAATCTAAATCTATACCAGATGAACATAAAATAACTAGTAAACCTACTGACGACGAGGTTGTTCCTCATATTACGGAAGATAAAAAACCTCCGAAAGAAAGTACAAAATCTCCAATTAAACCACAAGAACTAGACGTTTCTCATGACATTCCAGCAAAACTTGATATTAAATCGCCGATTGACAAAAAAGACATTACTACTAAATATATACCAGACGAACATAAAATAACTAGTAAACCTACAGACGACGAGGTTGTTCCTCATATTACAGATGATAAAAAATCTCCGAAAGAAAGTCGAAAATCTCCAGTTAAACCACAAGAACTAGACATTTCTCATGACATTCCAAAAAAACATGATATTAAATCTCCGGTAGATAAGAAAGTCATTACTCCTATATCTTCAGCTAAAGCAGACGAACATGAACTAACTAAAAAACCTATAGACGATGAAGTAGTTCCACATATAACGGAAGATAAAAAACCTCCGAAAGAAACTCCAAAATCTCCAATTAAACCACAAGAACTAGACATTTCTCATGGCATTCCAGAAAAACATGATATTAAATCTCCGGTAGATAAGAAAGTCATTAGTCCTATATCTCCAGCTAAACCAGACGAATATGAAATAACTGAAAAACCTATAGACGACAAAGTAGTTCCACATATAACGGAAGATAAAAAATCTCCGAAAGAAAGTCCAAAATCTCCAATTAAACCAGAAGAACTAGACATTTCTCATGATATTCCAGCAAAACATGATATTAAATCGCCGATTGACAAAAAAGACATTACTCCTAAACCTATACCAGACGAACATAAAATAACTAGTAAACCTACAGACGACGAGGTTGTTCCTCATATTACGGAAGATAAAAAATCTCCGAAAGAAAGTACAAAATCTCCAATTAAACCACAAGAACTAGACATTTCTCATGACATTCCGGAAAAACATGATATTAAATCTCCGGTAGATAAGAAAGTCATTACTCCTATATCTCCAGCTAAACCAGACGAACTTAAAATCATTGAAAAACCTATAGACGACAAAGTAGTACCACATATAACGGAAGATAAAAAATCTCCGAAAGAAAGTCCAAAATCTCCAATTAAACCAGAAGAACTAGACATTTCTCATGATATTCCAGCAAAACTTGATATTAAATCGCCGATTGACAAAAAATACATTACTCCTAAATATATACCAGAAGAACATAAAATAACTAGTAAACCTACAGACGACGAGGTTGTTCCTCATATTACAGATGATAAAAAATCTCCGAAAGAAAGTCGAAAATCTCCAGTTAAACCACAAGAACTAGACATTTCTCATGACATTCCAAAAAAACATGATATTAAATCTCCGGTAGATAAGAAAGTCGTTACTCCTATATCTCCAGCTAAAGCAGACGAACATGAAATAACTAAAAAACCTATAGACGATGAAGTAGTTCCACATATAACGGAAGATAAAAAACCTCCGAAAGAAACTCCAAAATCTCCAATTAAACCACAAGAACTAGACATTTCTCATGACATTCCAAAAAAACATGATATTAAATCTCCGGTAGATAAGAAAGTCGTTACTCCTATATCTCCAGCTAAACCAGACGAATATGAAATAACTGAAAAACCTATAGACGACAAAGTAGTTCCACATATAACGGAAGATAAAAAATCTCCGAAAGAAAGTCCAAAATCTCCAATTAAACCAGAAGAACTAGACATTTCTCATGATATTCCAGCAAAACATGATATTAAATCGCCGATTGACAAAAAAGTCATTACTCCTAAATCTATACCAGACGAACATAAAATAACCAGTAAACCTACAGACGACGAGGTGGTTCTCCATATTACGGATAATAAAAAACCTCCAAAAGAAAGTCCAAAATCTCGAATTAAACCACAAGAACTAGACGTTTCTCATGATATTCCAGCAAAACTTGATTTTAAATCGATTGACAAAAAAGACATTACTCCTAAATCTATACCAGACGAACATAAAATAACTAGTAAACCTACAGACGACGAGGTTGTTCCTCATATTACGGATGATAAAAAATCTCCGAAAGAAAGTCCAAAATCTCCAATTAAACCACAAGAACTAGACATTTCTCATGACATTCCAGAAAAACATGATAATAAATCACCGGTAGATAAGAAAGTCATTATTCCTTTATCTCCAGCTAAACCAGACGAACATGAAATTACTAAAAAGCCTATAGACGATGAAGTAGTTCCACATATAACGGAAGATAAAAAATCTCCGAAGGAAAGTCCAAAATCTTCAATTAAACCACAAGAACTAGACATTTCTCATGACATTCCAGAAAAACATGATAGTAAATCTCCGGTAGATAAGAAAGTCATTACTCCTATATCTCCAGCTAAACCAGACGAACATGAGATAAATGAAAAACCTATAGAAGACGAAGTAGTTCCACATATTACGGAAGATAAAAAATCTCCGAAAGAAAGTACAAAATCTCCAATTAAACCAGAAGAACTAGACATTTCTCATACTATTCCAGCAAAACTTGATATTAAATCGCCGATTGACAAAAAAGACATTACTCCTAAATCTAAATCTATACCAGACGAACCTAAAATAACTAGTAAACCTACTGACGACGAGGTTGTTCCTCATATTACAGATGAAAAACCTCCGAAAGAAAGTCCAAAATCTCCAATTAAACCAGAAGAACTAGACATTTCTTATGACATTAGAGCAAAATATGATATTAAATCGCCGATTGACAAAAAAGACATTACTCCTAAATCTATACCAGACGAACATAAAATAACTAGTAAACCTACAGACGACGAGGTTGTCCCTCATATTACGGATGATAAAAAATCTCCGAAAGAAAGTCCAAAATCTCCAATTAAACCACAAGAACTAGACATTTCTCATGACATTCCAGCAAAACTTGATATTAAATCGCCGATTGACAAAAAAGACATTACTCCTAAATCTAAATCTATACCAGACGAACATAAAATAACTAGTAAACCTACTGACGACGAGGTTGTTCCTCATATTACGGAAGATAAAAAACCTCCAAAAGAAAGTCCAAAATCTCCAATTAAACAACAAGAACTAGACGTTTCTCATGACATTCCAGCAAAACTTGATATTAAATCGCCGATTGACAAAAAAGACATTACTCCCAAACCTACACCAGACGAACATAAAATAACTAGTAAACCTACAGACGACGAGGTTGTTCCTCATATTACGGACGATAAAAAATCTACTAAAGAAATTCCAAAATCTCCAATTAAACCACAAGAACTAGACATTTCTCATTACATTCCAGCAAAACTTGATATTAAATCGCCGATTGACAAAAAAGACTTTACTCCTAAATTTATACCAGACGAACATAAAATAACTAGTAAACCTACAGACGACGAGGTTGTTTCAGATATTACGGATGATAAAAAATCTCCGAAAGAAAGTCCAAAATCTCCAATTAAACCACAAGAACTAGACATTTCTCATGACATTCCAGAAAAACATGATATTAAATCTCCGTTAGATAAGAAAGTCATTACTCCTATATCTCCAGCTAAACCAGACGAACTTAAAACCATTGAAAAACCTATAGACGACAAAGTAGTACCACATATAACGGAAGATAAAAAATCTCCGAAAGAAAGTCCAAAATCTCCAATTAAACCAGAAGAACTAGACATTTCTCATGATATTCCAGCAAAACATGATATTAAATCGCCGATTGACAAAAAAGACATTACTCCTAAACCTATACCAGACGAACATAAAATAACTAGTAAACCTACAGACGACGAGGTTGTTCCTCATATTACGGAAGATAAAAAATCTCCGAAAGAAAGTACAAAATCTCCAATTAAACCACAAGAACTAGACATTTCTCATGACATTCCGGAAAAACATGATATTAAATCTCCGGTAGATAAGAAAGTCATTACTCCTATATCTCCAGCTAAACCAGACGAACTTAAAATCATTGAAAAACCTATAGACGACAAAGTAGTACCACATATAACGGAAGATAAAAAATCTCCGAAAGAAAGTCCAAAATCTCCAATTAAACCAGAAGAACTAGACATTTCTCATGATATTCCAGCAAAACTTGATATTAAATCGCCGATTGACAAAAAAGACATTACTCCTAAATATATACCAGAAGAACATAAAATAACTAGTAAACCTACAGACGACGAGGTTGTTCCTCATATTACAGATGCTAAAAAATCTCCGAAAGAAAGTCGAAAATCTCCAGTTAAACCACAAGAACTAGACATTTCTCATGACATTCCAGCAAAACTTGATATTAAATCGCCGATTGACAAAAAAGACATTACTCCTAAATCTAAATCTATACCAGACGAACATAAAATAACTAGTAAACCTACTGACGACGAGGTTGTTCCTCATATTACAGAAGATAAAAAACCTCCGAAAGAAAGTCCAAAATCTCCAATTAAACCACAAGAACTAGACGTTTCTCATGACATTCCAGCAAAACTTGATATTAAATCGCCGATTGACAAAAAAGACATTACTTCTAAATCTATACCAGACGAACATAAAATAACTAGTAAACCTACTGACGACGAGGTTGTTCCTCATATTACGGAAGATAAAAAACCTCCGAAAGAAAGTCCAAAATCTCCAATTAAACCACAAGAACTAGACGTTTCTCATGACATTCCAGCAAAACTTGATATTAAATCGCCGATTGACAAAAAAGACATTACTCCCAAACCTACACCAGACGAACATAAAATAACTAGTAAACCTACAGACGACGAGGTTGTTCCTCATATTACGGACGATAAAAAATCTACTAAAGAAATTCCAAAATCTCCAATTAAACCACAAGAACTAGACATTTCTCATTACATTCCAGCAAAACTTGATATTAAATCGCCGATTGACAAAAAAGACTTTACTCCTAAATTTATACCAGACGAACATAAAATAACTAGTAAACCTACAGACGACGAGGTTGTTTCTCATATTACGGATGATAAAAAATCCCAGAAAGAAAGTCCAAAATCTCCAATTAAACCACAAGAACTAGACATTTCTCATGACATTCCAGAAAAACATGATATTAAATCTCCGGTAGATAAGAAAGTCATTTCTCCTATATCTCCAGCTAAACCAGACGAACATGAGATAAATGAAAAACCTATAGAAGACGAAGTAGTTCCACATATTACGGAAGATAAAAAATCTCCGAAAGAAAGTACAAAATCTCCAATTAAACCAGAAGAACTAGACATTTCTCATACTATTCCAGCAAAACTTGATATTAAATCGCCGATTGACAAAAAAGACATTACTCCTAAATCTAAATCTATACCAGACGAACCTAAAATAACTAGTAAACCTACTGACGACGAGGTTGTTCCTCATATTACAGATGAAAAACCTCAGAAAGAAAGTCCAAAAATCTCCAATTAAACCAGAAGAACTAGACATTTCTTATGACATTCCAGCAAAACATGATATTAAATCGCCGATTGACAAAAAAGACATTACTCCTAAATCTATACCAGACGAACATAAAATAACTAGTAAACCTACAGACGACGAGGTTGTCCCTCATATTACGGATGATAAAAAATCTCCGAAAGAAAGTCCAAAATCTCCAATTAAACCACAAGAACTAGACATTTCTCACGACATTCCAGCAAAACTTGATATTAAATCGCCGATTGACAAAAAAGACATTACTCCTAAATCTAAATCTATACCAGACGAACATAAAATAACTAGTAAACCTACTGACGACGAGGTTGTTCCTCATATTACGGAAGATAAAAAACCTCCGAAAGAAAGTCCAAAATCTCCAATTAAACCACAAGAACTAGACGTTTCTCATGACATTCCAGCAAAACTTGATATTAAATCGCCGATTGACAAAAAAGACATTACTCCCAAACCTACACCAGACGAACATAAAATAACTAGTAAACCTACAGACGACGAGGTTGTTCCTCATATTACGGACGATAAAAAATCTACTAAAGAAATTCCAAAATCTCCAATTGAACCACAAGAACTAGACATTTCTCATTACATTCCAGCAAAACTTGATATTAAATCGCCGATTGACAAAAAAGACTTTACTCCTAAATTTATACCAGACGAACATAAAATAACTAGTAAACCTACAGACGACGAGGTTGTTTCAGATATTACGGATGATAAAAAATCTCCGAAAGAAAGTCCAAAATCTCCAATTAAACCACAAGAACTAGACATTTCTCATGACATTCCAGAAAAACATGATATTAAATCTCCGTTAGATAAGAAAGTCATTACTCCTATATCTCCAGCTAAACCAGACGAACTTAAAACCATTGAAAAACTTATAGACGACAAAGTAGTACCACATATAACGGAAGATAAAAAATCTCCGAAAGAAAGTCCAAAATCTCCAATTAAACCAGAAGAACTAGACATTTCTCATGATATTCCAGCAAAACATGATATTAAATCGCCGATTGACACAAAAGACATTACTCCTAAACCTATACCAGACGAACATAAAATAACTAGTAAACCTACAGACGACGAGGTTGTTCCTCATATTACGGAAGATAAAAAATCTCCGAAAGAAAGTACAAAATCTCCAATTAAACCACAAGAACTAGACATTTCTCATGACATTCCGAAAAAACATGATATTAAATCTCCGGTAGATAAGAAAGTCATTACTCCTATATCTCCAGCTAAACCAGACGAACTTAAAATCATTGAAAAACCTATAGACGACAAAGTAGTACCACATATAACGGAAGATAAAAAATCTCCGAAAGAAAGTCCAAAATCTCCAATTAAACCAGAAGAACTAGACATTTCTCATGATATTCCAGCAAAACTTGATATTAAATCGCCGATTGACAAAAAAGACATTACTCCTAAATATATACCAGAAGAATATAAAATAACTAGTAAACCTACAGACGACGAGGTTGTTCCTCATATTACAGATGCTAAAAAATCTCCGAAAGAAAGTCGAAAATCTCCAGTTAAACCACAAGAACTAGACATTTCTCATGACATTCCAGCAAAACTTGATATTAAATCGCCGATTGACAAAAAAGACATTACTCCTAAATCTAAATCTATACCAGACGAACATAAAATAACTAGTAAACCTACTGACGACGAGGTTGTTCCTCATATTACAGAAGATAAAAAACCTCCGAAAGAAAGTCCAAAATCTCCAATTAAACCACAAGAACTAGACGTTTCTCATGACATTCCAGCAAAACTTGATATTAAATCGCCGATTGACAAAAAAGACATTACTTCTAAATCTATACCAGACGAACATAAAATAACTAGTAAACCTACTGACGACGAGGTTGTTCCTCATATTACGGAAGATAAAAAACCTCCGAAAGAAAGTCCAAAATCTCCAATTAAACCACAAGAACTAGACATTTCTCATGACATTCCAGAAAAACATGATATTAAATCTCCGTTAGATAAGAAAGTCATTACTCCTATATCTCCAGCTAAACCAGACGAACTTAAAACCATTGAAAAACCGATA